GTCATTAATTGCACACAAAAGGAAAAGGATTAATGTCAGACTTGCCCCAGTGCCTGGTGACCTCCCCCAGTTTTCAGGACAATCTCAGCACTGTGAGCATGCTGGCTCTCTGTCCCCTCTTATTAACAGAAAAAGCTGTCAGATGCAGACATGGAATTTCAAAATGCTTCAACCAACAGCAGCAAAGAGGGACCTTGAGCACATCCCACTGACACACAGGTACAACACCAGGAATGAGGATTTTTCTGTTTCTGGAAATGCAGACACTGTGTGTATTGAATATTTCCTTGATTTTTTCAAGAGGAAATGTAAAAATTTTTCTACCTGAGGAGTTCAGGGCATAAAATGAGACCTTAAACAAAAGAGATTGCTGTACCCAGTGTGGATTCTGTGCAATCAATCCCATGTAAATGAGAATACAAACAATTCGTTTTAAAGACTTGACTCAGACAATGAAAGGTTCTAAACATATTTCAGCTATTGGGAACACCAGGATAAATTTCCCTCTCATGCCAAGCTGTGGTTATCAAACAGGCTACAAGCAGAAACATCCTGGTTTGTGATTTGCTTCTGCTTGAGGGAAGCTTTGCTCACTGTTACTGCAAGATCCATTCACTTATTTATTAAGTTGCATTCACTAACTTTTCTTTAGGGCAAAACCTTCCTCTGTCTTCTCTGCTGGATCAGCTTTAACAACAGTAGCAGTAAGGAAGGCAAACTTAATAAAATAAAAGTAAGCACATACAGAGAAAGGGAGAATGAGAAACTCAACACTACTAAGCTCTGTGTGACACAGACCAAGCTCTGTAACAGAGAGAAATCCAGGAATTAACTTTTTAAGCTCTTGTAAAATTATTTTCACAATAATTTAAGCCAGTAAATAAGGAAAAATGAAAGAAAATTACAAGGAATGGTCATTTCTTGCATCCTGCCAGCTTTGAGAGAGGCACCTTTGACACGGTACAGGAGTTGCAATCTAAAACACAGCAGAATGAAGTGCTACAGAGTGAACAGTGATTGAAACTGGCCAGCTCACAAACCAAACTTACAGGGACCAGACCTCACAAAACTTTGTCAGGTTTAATTAGCTCAAAAGATGTATTAATGCCGATTAAACACCTTGCTTAATTTTTGCTTTGCAGTAAACTAGATGAATGTTATTATACCATTAAAAAATATCAAGTTAAATATAGTTAAATCAGTTTGCTGTGTAAAAGTTCTGTCTTGCCTCAGAGTCTGTGGGAAGCACAAGACCATCAAGACTAATGATGATCTTCTGAAAGATTAAAAGCCATAGCAGCATTAATAATAGATGCTGAAAGATTCATTATGCTCCAAATCACTTTAAGGAATCAAACCTTAACATTTGTAATAGTTCTCCATCCCCTTGAAATGTATTTTATCTCTATTACAGCTCAGCGTGCTCTGTATGTTTCACAGTGCAATCCAGAGACAAGATGTGAAAGGAGCAGTGAGATTTTACTATGAGCAATGATTAAACATTGACTGGGCTTTAGTTAGCCACAGAAAACACGAGTACGATTAAAAACAGGTGTAAATCAGTGAGAATTATGTTAAGAGCTATCATCCACCTCCTTTAGTGCATTGAATGAACCATCTCCTGTGCTGAGGAAGATGAAGGAGCTTCACCATCACCTCCTGAGCTGCTCTGGGCAAGGCTTCAGCCCTCCCTCGGGATGGAAGGGGAGGATGGGACACACTCACCTGGCAGTATGAGGATGTCCACGAGGGGCTTGCAGTGATAGAGACCTGTTGCCATGACACAGTCTGCCCACAGCCCCTTGGATCCCAGCTCATCCATCTTCCTGCAGGTGGTGATGGTGTAGCCGCAGGTCACCACCCAGTCGTTGGTGGCCGTGGCCACAACCACCCCGATCCACCCTACAAAACTGCAGACAAATCCAGCCAGGTGCAGGCAGGTGGCCACCATCTCTGTCCTTTGGTGGGGAGAGCTGGACAGGACAGTGCCCAGGGGGCTCGGCCCGGTGAGATCCCGGCTGCTGGAGCGGGAGGGATGGGGTTTGGCAGGACGAGGTCCCTGGTGAGGCTGTGCTGCTGCGAACACTCGGCTGTGTCTGCCCAGCTCCCTCCCTGGGAGGGGTCAGAGCTGCCTCCAGCCCCACAGCGCATGGGAGGAGCAAGGGGGGAGCCCCAACTTCTGCCAGAGCATCCGGAGCGTCCGGGGGGAAGGAGGCTGTGGAGAGGAGGAGAAGCACGATCACACCCAGCCGTGCTGGAAAAACAAACCAGAGGGGCTTATTCAAATGCAAAGAGCCCGACTATTCGAAATTTAGCACAGAGGGAGAAAAATTAAGGCAGTGTTGGCGAGCTGAACTTTAATAGTCACACTGGTACCTCCTGATGGGAAGATAAGGGGAGAAATGTGATGGGCAGAGTTAAGAGGTGGAATTGATCACCTCACCAGAGCCATCAGCACACCTGCAGTAAAGGGACAAAATCAGTCCTGGGTCTTTCCTGATGTTTCTAGTAATTGTAAAAATATGAAAGACCCATCACTGCTTTTATCTCTGCTGTGCCTGGGATTTCAGAAGTATTTTTAACTCTCGCTGAGTCTTAAATACATGTTTAACAGCACTATAGTCCCACTTTTGAATCCTCAAATTAAAATGAACAGCTTTTAACTCAGACTTTTAGTCGGAGTAAATTTACTATACAGATTTTAGTACACTTGATAAAACAGGAGCACCCCACTTCAAAACGCCAGAGGTGGAGAAACTCCACATCTCCCGTTCTGCATCATGGGAAACAGGCGGGCAGGACACGTTCCTAACTTCGTTATTTTATTATTTTATTTTATTTTATTTTATTTTATTTTATTTTATTTTATTTTATTTTATTTTTTATTTTATTTTCACAGCACATATGTATGTTCTCGTGTGCAGACACATCCCTGAGGGTGTTCCATGGCTGTGTGTCCTCCTCCAGCGCTGCTGGTTCTGCGAAGGGAAGGTTTGGGACGAGGTGGATGCTGCATGCCTGGAGAGACCACTAGTGGAGAGCTGTCTGCGGTGCAAGGGCAGAGAAAAGGGATAAGAAAGTGACAAAACAATGAATTTCCTTCACTCCTAGAGCTGTCAGTGAGAAAGAAATACTGGAAACGCCACTCCGAGTTTAAAGTGCTAGGAATTAAATATATCCCGCTCCTCATCCAAGGGTTTTTTTTGCCATTCTTTAACAAACAAAAAGAAAAACACGAACGAGAGCATCCTGAGCTTCATTTGTCACCTGCTCCTTAGATGCAAAATTCAAGGACGTGAGGTCACAGTTTTCTGTCAAAGCTTCATCTGAACACTGGAGCACTACCAATATAGTTGAAAAGTCTTTTTCAAGAGAAGCTTTAACAATAAATATAAATTTAATAGCTGTTTTCACATTTGTATTTTATTGTTGGTTACTCCTTGGGTTTTTTCTATACCTGGTTTATGGTATTTCTGTGAAGCCAAGCTGCTTGCTGGCCTTCCGTGAAATTTCCTGATGTGATTCCATCTTCCTGCATAGCTTATCCTTCTACTGCACCCACCTCAGGTGGAGTGTGCTATTACTGATAACCAAACACAAATTTATGTTGTCTAGGGCTCAATTCTAGATGGATTTAATTTTCCCCCCAAAAAATATTCCTGCTTATTTATTTCTCAGGAGATAAACTTGTCACCTCTTGGGTGATACTAGTGTTGTTCCACTTCTTGGACTGAGCAATTGCATTGGACAGATCACGTGTCACCTCCTGAATTCAAAAGGAGATGACAGATTTCATCCCAAAGCTGAGGTCTGGAATCGTTTTACAGTGATAGTGCAGGCACATCTAATGCACAGTGTAAGTATTTTTTAAATGCTGCAAGGTATTCATTGGCATATACATCCTTCTGTAATTCAGCCTCCTACATTTGTGGTTTCCTTAACCACAAAAACTCCATGTTTTCCTTCACAAATGTATTTATCAAGGAGTGTGCAGGAGCAAGGAGTAAATTTGACACTTTGGTAACCAGCACTATCCAACAGAACTCGAGCTGGTGCCCACAGGGCACAGTGTGAATTATTTCATTAATGTCAATAGAGACAGGAGACGTTTACCATTTTGTCAGTGTTATAAATCACACCACCAACAGTTAAGTGAATATAAGTTTGTGTGAGGCAAGTGGACAATGATTTACAAGATCAATAAAATAAGGAACAAGAACAACTTGCCAGCTATGTGCCAAATAAGCGGATACACTTTGGGCAAGTCTTAAAAGCTGTCTTTTTAAAAGCAACCGCTACACAGGCATTTATTACAGCAACAATGTGAGCTCCTTAAAAAATCGATCTTTTTACCCTTCACACCCAGAGTTTTTCCTTGATCTGCATTGTTCTCTCTGACAAAAGACAGGCTGTTGCAATTAGTCATAGCTACCCAAGCTATCAACACCCCAGGGCTTTCTCATCCAAATGACTCACCTTGAACTTTTTCTTTACATTTCAGCCTCATTGTTTCTTCCCTGTTTGGAAATACAGCAGTATAAAAAAGCAAGATGGGATGCAGAAATAAACAAGTTTAAGAGGTTGAGCTCATCGTTGTTATTTTCATTTTTATCCTAATTCATGCCACTCCTTTCTCTCTTTATCTGTAAAATACAAGCAAGCCCGCGGTAGCATTAAGGGTTTGCAATTACATGAAATATCATCAGGATTTCCTATATGGGAGAGCAGCTCCTTGATACAAGGACAAAGTATTTTTGCACTGATTTGAAGGGAAGAAAAAAAAAAAAACAAAATGTGTGTGAATGTGCTTTCTTATGCATCAAGAAAAAGTTCTCAGTATGAATAAAATCCTCCAGAAAATCTCCATCATATTATTTGTAGCAAAAGTTATATTTTACTATAATATAGAGGGCGTTTAAGCGAACCAAAGAACCAGTTTATTGTTCTAAGTGGTGGAATTTCAAGGTAAATGAAAGACTCGTGGAAGAACATGCAGCTTAGAGAAACTGCTCCCTCTTTTCTCCTCCATTGCTCCTTCCCTCTCCTACTCTGATTTTTCTGCTATTTAAGCTCCCTGATGCTACACAAAAATGTTAAGGTAATATAATCACATGGCTTACAAAAACTAAGAACTCTTGAGAGTTACTCACCATCAGCAGTAAGTATTTTTTCAGCAAATAGAGTAAAATTCTTATTTCAACTTTGTATAATCTCAGCATTTTATCTGGCAATGTGTGTTTGCAATCTCATTTATTATTGAGCTATGGAAGAGTTGTGAACAACTCACACATTGCTTGAGCAGTCAAGCAGCAACAAAGCTGGGCACCAGAGAACTTGGCAAGTATGCAGAGTTCTATTTTCAGGTATAAACACCAAATTTGTGCCAAGATACATAGAAAGCTTGGTGCCAATACCTTTAGAGAAGCTTAAAAGCTTTAGAAAGTGGATCCATGGGGAGGGATGGCTTTGATCTTGCATATTTTGCTTAAAATAAATTTTAGAGAACTGGGGACTTGCTGCAGGCTGTGGGAGCTCTGCTAACAAGTTTTTGTGTAATCAGATTTTAATTTACTGTAATCAAAGCAAGGAAGGCTCTGTCCTTAGAAAAGCACCGAGTTAAACACCTTCAAAGAGCCAAGTTTAGAAGTCAGTGTTCAAAAATACGACAGAGACAAGGGTTCTGACATTACAGTTCTTTATTTGTTTTTGAGTCCACGATCTATACAGGTATTTACAAAGCATGGAAATGGATAACAGCACAAAATACAATTGAGGTATAAGCTAAGAGCACAGTATGTCATGTTTCAATAAATATAATTCAAAATTTGTAAACTAAGTGACCAGATAGATGCATCTTGTCTACTAAAACCATATAAAATATCTGTTAAATCTCACGTGAGGTAGAGGACAGTTTTGTGTGTCATGTAATGCAACCACAGCAACGCTGACAATAAGACTGTACATCATTGGCAAAGTATTAAAAATTGTTGAATGCACTGATTCTTTTTCACAGGCTTTTCCTATGGTTTCAGAACAGTCACTCAACCTGTTGCCTTGAGCTAACACAACTTGGTTGTTTTGCAGCTACTTTCTGTCATTTGAGAGAATTATACTGGCATGTCAACAGCAATAAATACTTTAGAGAGTGAGGATGAAAACACAAAAAATGTTCTGTCAATCACAGAAAGCAACGTGATGGCAACGAAATATTTCAGACCAACTTTTTATTATTTCCTAGAATTTGTTTAAATACAGTACAGCTGTGCTTTCCTTTAAGTGAGGTATCTCTTAGAAGAAAAAAAATTCAATTGATATCGTTACACTTAATTAATTTTCAAATAGCAAAATTTTATACCGTGTTTGCTGTGCTTGATGAAGTGCTTAAAACTCATTTTTCAAGCATTTTCCAACTGAACCACTAACCCTGAAAAAAACAATTTGCTAAGTAATGGAGACACACTATAAAATCATCGTGCAATTTGTAAGCAGTAACTGCTTTCACAAAAGCTAAAAAATGACTGTATTTTTTAAATAGATATATGCAGCAAAAATTCTACAAGCTTTCTGTAAAGAAAACCAATGAACACTCACACTACAAATGTAATGAGCAAAAACAAAATTAAAATTTGCAGCTTTCTGCTGCTTACTATCAATGGCTTAAATAAAATTATCAAAATATTGCAAGCACAGATTAATAGGTAGGAGAAATTATACTTTTTGTTGACTTCACCATGTTATAGAAAACTCTGTTGTGTGGATTAATTACACGAATTAAGTGCAGAAAAAATACAAAGTTGTTATCTTTACTGACAATCAAAATATATACTCTACAAACAAGTGAATTTTAGGAAGCTGACCACGACAGCATTTCAAGGCCAACTTCCCAACTAATGCTAGGAAAGGTTTCCAAAAATTTCATAACACATTCTAGCTATCCCCTCCCCCAATACA